AGGGCTGGAGAGATGTCTTAGCACACAAGGGCTGGAGAGGTGGCTCAGCATCCAAGGGCTGGAGAGATGGCTCAGCATCCAAGGGCTGGAGAGATGGCTCAGCATCCAAGGGCTGGAGAGATGGCTCAGCACACAAGGGCTGGAGAGGTGGCTCAGCATCCAAGGGCTGGAGAGATGGCTCAGCATCCAAGGGCTGGAGAGATAGCTCAGCACCCAAGGCCTGGAGAGATGGCTCAGCACCCAAGGGCTGGAGAGATGGCTCAGCATCCAAGGGCTGGAGAGATGGCTCAGCACACAAGGGCTAGTGAGATGGCTCAGCATCCAAGGGCTGGAGAGACACACATGTGTACCTATAGTTAAAAATAAAATATCATTGAGAGAGAGAGAGAGAGAGAGAGAGAGAGAGAGAGAGAGGCCAAAGATTCCCAACACCTGGTAACGATGATGGCTGAAAATGTAGGTCAGTTGGCCGAGTGCTTGCTGAGCATCTACAGAGCCCTGGGTTCAGTTCCTAGAACTGAATAAACTAGATATGGTGGTACAGACCTGTAATCCCAGCACTTAGGGGAGGGCAGGAAGAGCAGGCGTTCAAGGTCATCCTTGGCTACAAGGCCACCTAGTGCCACTACATGACAACTTGCCTCAAAAAAAAAAAAAAAAAAAAAGAGGTGGGGATGGAATGGAAGGAGGGAGCATGGGTCGCGGTTGAGAGGCCAGGAGCCCTCCTAGGTCCTCTTCTTCCTCTTCCTTCTCCCCCAATCCTCTTCCCCTTATTTTTTTCTCTTCCTTTTCCTCCTCCTCTTCCTCTCTCCCATCTCCCATATGATAAAGGGAGGCATTTGTAACGGGTTAGCTGAACTGGCCACCATACCCAGCAGCTCATCAGTGTGGCCATCCAGCAGTCCCCTTGCCTGACTCAGCAGAGTCAACAAGTCACCTGTCAGTGACTTGGCTGTTTCTGTCCCCACAGTGTCAGAGCTGGCAGCCCTGACATCATCTGGCTGGCTGCCCACCTGACTTGTAGAGGGAGAGTATACAGTCATGCCAGTGGGCAGTGGCTGCTCGGGGTTCAGGCCCTGGCTACAGCCAAGCTCTCTACATCAAGCTGCAGCTGGATCTCGGGCTCTGTGTACCCTGACCTGTCGCCTCTGTGTTAGTTCCACGACTTTCTTGCTGTGCCATCTACAAAGACAGTCACCATCAATCACAGGATTAAAGGTCTGGTGAGGGCAGGAGCCACAGCTTTTTGAGTAAACCTACATCTCATCTCTGACTCTCTGGAAGATCTCAGTTCTACAAAGAAGGAGCCAAGCCACAAAACCACAAAGGTGGACAAACCAGCTCCCCAGAGAGTGGTGGCCACAGGCAGCCCTTGAACACAGGTCTAACTCTTGAAGTCTCAACACAGGGCCACGAAGCCTTGTTTGGCTCATGGATGACCCTGACCCACCTTCTTCTCACCCACACACCCCCTCAATTCCCTCACCCACTGTCCTAGAAGAAATGCTGGTTGGTGGTCAGCAGTACCCAGCAGGTGCATTGGTTCCTGCCAGCTGCTAACTGCTGCAATCCGCATAGATTACACCTCTGCACCAGCATCGTGAAAATAAATGAGGCTTTCCAGCCACTACTCAATCAGTTTAGATGACAGCATTGATGGGACAGAGACTGGCTGGGCTGGCATCTGCAGGAAACGGACTTGGATGCCCATCAGTCTGAGGACCTCTGTCCCCAGGACAGAATCTCTCTTGAGATCATTGCTGGGATTGTTCAGACAGTTCTGCCTTTCCATGAGGGAGGAGCTGTGATCACAGTAACAAGAGAGAAAGAAATGGCAACAGCTGGCACCGGTTAAGGGTTCACTGGGAGGTAGACCTGGTCCTTAGAGCCCTGTGCATATCAGCCTAGTTCACTCAGCCCTGGCGAGCAGCAGAATGCCTCACTGGACGACTCAGCAAGCCGAGCCTCTGAGGGAAAGCACAGCTGAGAGACTGGCAGTCCCAAAATTAAATGAAGCTGATTTCCAGCAAAGTTCTGCCAGGCACCCTTGGGGCCTGCCCTTCCCTTAAGAAATTACATATAAGGGGTTGGAAAGATGGCTCAGTAGTTAAGACCACTGGCTTGGTTCCATGCCCAGCCCCCACAAGGTGGCTAATAAGTGTCAGTAATTCCAGTTCCAAGAGATCTCTCTCTCTCTCTCTCTCTCTCTCTCTCTCTCTCTCTCTCTCTCTCTCATCTCCATAGGCACTGCATGCACAGGTATATGTGTATACATGCAGGCAATACACTCATACACATAAAATAAAAGTAAATAAACCAGAACAATATTTTTAAGAAAAGAAATTACATACAATGCCTGGTGTGCCATGATTCAGTGTGAGGTTTTCCAATTTACAGTGCCTCAAAGATCCACACTGAATGTGGACAGGGAAGCGCCCTCAACAGGCGAGTCCCAGACTTTCTGCTCTGCTGAGGTCTAAGTAATCAGCTTCCTTTGGCACAGCCAAGAGCCAGTCCCACCACCATGCTCCCCCTCTATGAAGGAACAGAACCCTCAAAATGAGCCCTTCATTCCCTAACACTTCCTGCTATGTTGGTCCAGTGACGAGCAAAGTATGTGTTAACGAACGCTATTCGTGGAAACACATTGCCCTCCTCTTGGTGCCTCTGGTGCCTCCTCCTCCCTCTGATGCTCCTGTTCTTCCTTTCCCAGGTGTAGCGCTAAGCACACTGAAGGGGCCACTCCACTTAATCTGCTTGTAGCTCTACACCCTCACTATCCTTGTTTGACAGGAATGAGCTGAGGTTCTGAGACTTCAGGAGCTTAATACACAAGGCCAAGTCATCATTTGTAACTTAGCAGTTTAGGGCTGGGAGTGTAGCTTGCTGGTGGAATGCTTACCTTATCATGCATGAGGTCCTGGGTTCAATCCCCAGTACCCCTTAAAACTAGATGTGGTTCCCACATCTATAATCCCACTTGGGAGGTGGAGGCAGTAGGATCAGGAGTTCAAGGTCATCCTCAGCTACAGGGTGATTTCAAGGTCCATCAGATCCTTTCCTGCCCTCCTCTCCTCCCCAGTTCTGTCCTTCGACATACTCCCCTAGGCTCCCTGATCCTTCACAAATCTCACCCAGGGCGCCAGGCCTTTGTCAGCTTCATATGAGGGAGCTGTTCTCTTATACATCTTATATATCTGTCTTGGAATCCGTTGTCAAATATTTGTGTTTCCTGCAAGGTCACTTTCGTATCATCTCACTAAAAAGTGTCCCCCTCAGCCCAGGACCCTGATCCAAGACCCACAGTCCCCAGAAGACATGAGTGCCTGGTACATGCCTTCATTTATGCTCTTAGTCTAATATCTTTGTGTATTGGACAAGCTTCCCAACTGTGCCTGGCAGACCTTGTTAGCAGCCTGTGCTCTCCGTTCTGTGAGCATGGAAGCTTCTCTCTTCCAAACATTTACCACATCACATGTGATATTTCTACTCTCCTGTTGACGCAGCTCCTGTTCCACATGAAGCCTGTACCATGAGGCCAGTGCTCTTGGCTTCCACCATCTTGTTTAGCTGGGTCCCGTTATAAAAGACCCCACTCTTCAGGGGAAAGGAGAGAAGGAAAGGAGGAAGGAGGACAAAGGGGTGTGGCTCAGCATGTGCAAAGCCTGGGCTCCAGCCACACTATGGCAAAAACCAAACAAGAATACAATGAAATGAAACAGGATAAAACAACTCAGGATGTGAGTCATGTCTGCACCCAGGCCTGTTCAGTGATGGTGATGGTGGTGATGGTGATGATCATGATGGTGATGATGGAGATGGTGGTGATAGTAGTGATGGTGATGGTGATGGTGATGATGATGGTGGTGATGATAGTGATGGTGATGGTGGTGATGGTGATAGTAATGATGATGATATGATGGTGGTGGTGGTGATCATGGTGATGGTAGTGATGATGATGATGGTGATGATGATGGTAGTGGTGATGTTGATGACGGTGATGGTGGTGGTGATGGTGGTGATAGTGATGGTGATGGTGATGATGATGGTAGTGATGGTAATGATGGTGGTGATGATGGTAATATTGATGATGGTGGTGGTGGTGGTGATGATGGTGATGATGGTAATGGAGATGATGGTAGAAGTGGTGGTCTTCTGTCTCTCCTCTGAGGAGGATCAGATCAGCTCATTGTGCCCCTTGTCCAGTAGACTGTAGGCACGTTGGCTGTATGGAAGCATGGGCACCAGAAGAGCAGCAGTCAAGGGCATAATCTGAAGTGGTGCCAGAATTGTGGGTGCCACAGGTGTGGCCCACATGAGGTCCCCAGGGGTGCCAGCCTCAAGGAAGCTGAGGAGGAGGACCCCAGCCTCTGCAGTGCCATAGGGTAGCCAGAGGCCTCAGCTGCCTCCAGGCTAAGTTGAGCTGCTTCTGGGACTTCAGGCCCCTCCGAGGTATCAGGGTGTGCCAAGTGCCGGCCTCTGGGGACATCTGTGCCATGCCCTGGGTTCCATGCTCACTGTAGCAAATAGAACAGGTGACGGAAAGTGGAGGCCCAAAGCCCCTGCCTCAAGCTAACTGCTGTCTCTTTTTCTCTTCTCTCCAGACGCTGATGCGGAGAGGGACATGGGCCCTTCCCCTGCCTACCTCCTGCCATCCAACTCACCAGACAGTGCAGGTCTTGGCAGAGAAAGCCAAGAAGAGGAGGTGACCTCCACCTCCCCAAGTCTTTCACAGTCTGGGGAAGAGCTGGGCCAGCCAGCATCTGAATCCATGGACGTGACAGCACCCTCTGTGCAGCATGACCCCCCAGGATCGCCACTGGCCCCTGAAGCCAGGGCCCAGCATGCCCCAACACCCAGGAGGACCCTACCATCCCTGAAGCAGTTCAACTCAGCCCGTAGGCAGCTGAGGCCTCTGGCCACCCCGGAGGCACTGCAGAGGCTGGGGTCCACCACATCATCAGGCTCCACAAAGTCAGCTGCCCCTGAGGACACAGCCCAGGCCGCCCCTTCAGTGCCCACAACTCCGGCACCACTGCAGATTGCGCCCTTCACAGCAGCTTCCTTGGCACCCACTCTCCCACAGAGCCCAGAGCCTGCCCAGGCCCCAGAAGATGCCAGCCCTGGCAGCCTGTTGGACAAGGGAGACAGCGAGCTGACTGGATCTGCCTCAGAGGAGAGCCAGGAGACCACCACTTCCACTATCATCACCACCACCATCATCACCACCGAGCAGGCCCCGGGTGTGGACACGGCTCATATCCTGCTTTATTTCGTCCTGTTTTACTTATTGTATTCCTGTTTAGTATTTGCCATAGTACAAATGGAACCCAGGCTTTGCACCGCGGGCAAGCTCTCTACCCTGAGCCACATTCCCAGCCCCCCTCCCTTTTTTTAACTTTTATTAAATGTTATCTTGTTTTATTTATTACCACGGTACATGTGGGGGTCTTAGGACAGCTTAGAGGAGTCAGGTCACTCCTTCCACTGTGAGTTACCATATGAAACACATCGTCAGGCTTGCACAGCAAGTGTGTTTACCCACTGAGCCACCTCTGTGGCCTAAATTTGATTTTTATTTTGGGACAGGTCTTGCTAAGATGCTCAGGCTGACTTTGAACTTGCTATTCTCCCGTACCACTGAGAAACTGGGATTACAGGCCCTTCCCCACAAGGTTTAGCTATTTGAATTTGGTTTTTTGTTTCATTTTGGTTTTGATATAAGATCTGGTTATGTAGCCCAGGCTAGTGTGAAACTTGAAATCCTCCTGCCTCAGTCCCCTGAGGGCTGGGATTAGAGGTGTGCACTCTCATTTTAGAAATCAGACAGGCAGACCCCGAGATGTTGAGCAAACCTACCCAAGGCCATACAGTAAATGTCCTATGGGAGGGGCCCCAACTGTCAATCTTGCCTTGACTTCGGAGGAATGCACCATGGCTACCAGTTAAAGAGTGTCAGCCAGGTTCGAATTATATGTGCTGTGGTATGGCTTGACCCAGACAGAGCCCTCTCTGTGCTTTTGTTCACCTTTCTTTAAAACGGGGCTGGAGGAAGCTATGGCGATGGCTCAGCAGGTAAAGATGCCTGCCGCCAAGGCACCTACCACCGAGCCTGACAACCTGAGTTCAACCCAGACCCACATGGTGGAAGGAAAGACACACACACACACACACACACACACACGATGTTCAAAGATAAATAAAATAAACTGTATGAGCTTGATGGGGCCACCCCGCGGGCAACTTCCACATCTGGTACCTAGACACCAGGCCCCACCCTGTAGCCTGTCTGAGCTCCGCAGGCATCTGTGTCATCACCCTGCATCATCCTGTGTCCTGACTGATGTTTCTTTCCTGGCAGCTCTCTGCGGTGTGAGCTTCTCTGACCCCGAGGGATACATTGACTCCAGTGACTTCCCACCACAGCCCTTCAACAGCTTCCTGGAGTGCACATACAACGTGACAGTCTACACGGGCTATGGCGTGGAGCTGCAGGTAGCAGCAGAGGGCCTTTTCCAAGGACGTCTCAGTCAGCCTGACTGTTGGTTCTCTTTGCTCAATCCAGGGCTATTTTAGTTGGGTTTTGTAAAGCAAGTAGGAGTTCCCAATTGCATGCCTTACTGAAATAGCTAAGAGGAATGAGTTGATGAATCATTAGGTATTTTACCCAGATAGAAAGTCCGTTAATGCCCTGCTGATATCTCCTCTCTCTCCACACACACACACACACACACACACACACACACACACGCACACTTGTTCAGTCACACTGAAATACACTAAAGTACCTCCTTCTGTCCTCTCCCTCTTAGCACAAGTAACAGCCTGCTTCCATGGAGCAGGAGAGGTGGCCCTGGAGTGACACCACTGTCTTGGAGGAGAGAGACCAAGAGTGGCCTAGCAATGAGACCAGCCCCTTGCCAGTTCATGCAGAAAGGAGAGAATGCATGGAGTCATGCTGAGTGCTCAGTGCCAGGCACAGTCCTAGGCATGGGTACTGAGCCCAACTTGGTACCCAGCACAGTTCTGGGAGTTCTAGGTTGCAGCCCTCACCCCAGCCTGGAGCCATCCCCACCTCATAGAGCTGCATCCCCACAACCGCAGTTCAAACAGGACTAGCATTTCTCTCTGTCCACCCCATATGTCTCCAGGTAAAGAACGTGAACCTGTCGGAAGGGGAACTTCTCTCCATTCGTGGGGTAGATGGTGCCACCCTCACAGTCCTGGCCAACCAAACGCTCCTGGTGGAGGGGCAAGTGATACGGAGCCCCACCAACACCATCTCTGTGTACTTCCGAACCTTCCAGGATGATGGCCTTGGGACCTTCCAGCTGCACTACCAGGGTAGGGTCTGTGAGGCCAGCCAGAGAGAGTGCTGGCCTCAGTTTCCCCCAGCACCCAACCACTCTTGTATTTTTTGTGTCAGGGACCCTGGTGTCAGTTTGATGCCCGCCCCCAATCTCAGAGTAATGTTTTAAAAGTAAAGAATGTAAGATACACAATTTGGGGACTGGGGAGACGGCTTGGTCAGTAAAGAGCTTGCCACACAAGCACGAGAACCTAAGTTTAGATTCCCCAGAAACCACACAAAAACTCACGCCCCATAGTGCACACCTGCATCCCAGTGCTGGGAGGTAGAGACAGGAAGATGAGCCTCAGGGCTCGCTGGCCAACCTGCCTAGCAGAATAAATGAGCTCCAAGCTGATGAGAGATCTGCTCTCAAAAATAAGATAGACAGTTAATTTAGAAATAGTCATTATGTGGAGTTCGGCGTGGAAGAAAGACTGTTTGATTTGCTACTTTATTTAACCAGATTCTCCATTTTAGGAGGAATACTTTTCACTGGATCCAATAACTACCACCAGAAGATGGTACCTATTACATATAAACATTACTTATAACCAGTGTGTGGATAAAGAAAGAAAAAGAACAGTGTAAATAAAAACAAGGGGGAAGTAAGGTAGCGAGCGATGAAGGAGGCACTTGATGTCAACCTCTGGCCTCCACACACGTGCACCCACAGGCCTCCACACTCATGTACATCCACAGGCTCACAAACACACAGGAACATGTATATACACACACCATAGACAGATACGTAGATGATTGATAGGTAGGTAGGTAGGTAGGTAGGTAGATAGATGATAGATAGATAGATAGATGATTGATAGATGATAGATAAACAGATAATATACAATTTTAAAAAGAAGTCAGTCCTATTGAATTATGATTCAAAATATTGTTCTAACAGTGGCTTCTCTGACCGTACATGGAACACTAAACCCTGACGGTTCTGTCATGACGGCAGTGTCACGGTTACAGGGAGCCGTAAGCATGTCATAGACTAGACTGTGGGAAACCTCCTGGTGAGTCATGGGTCCTATTGACCCAGCACCACCTGCTGCCCCAGTAGGGAAGGACAGAGAGCCCAGAGTTCAGCCAGAGGTTAATGAAAACAAGCCTGGCACTTTGGCTCCAACAGAGTTTGGGCCTCGGCTCCCTGTGTGTCTAGGGACGCCCTGCCTTTGGAGGCGCTTCGCTGCCTGTCTGGATTCCTCCTTCTGGTCTCTTTCCTCCCTCTCCTCTTGTCCCCTTATTCCTGCCTCCCCCAAATCCTCTGATCCTCCCCCTTCCTCCTCCCCCTGTCCTCCCACCTGCAGGCCATTCCCATAGCTCAGCTTGACAAAGCACCTGTACATGGGTGGGATTACAGGCCACACACCTGGCTGTGGGGCCCACATGACCTAGACATGAGGACAAACTCCTTACTCATTTCCCCTAGGGTATCTGTCCTCCATGGGTCACTACAGTGCCACTGTCACTCAGTCTCATCCTTTGAGTATCTAGTTCACCCTGTGTGTCTGCTGGGAATTTTTAAGTGAGAGAAATAATGTACCGATAGTAAATTTGGGTGCTGGGAATAGGGTGCACTCTCTGGGCCTCAGGGAGTCTGGTATGATCTGGTAGGAGAATTGTCTTGAACTTGAGGGCTCCACCCCAGGAAAACTGGGTTGCCGGGCACTGTGTGTGTACCCCTTTAACTCCCCACCTCAGAGGCCAACTGTGCCCTGGCAGTGTGCCAAGGAGACCCTTCCCCCCAGCATCAAAACTCACAACCACACAAAGGTGTGAACCGTTACCATGAGAGATCAGGGTGCCACATCACATCTCAAAGCCACATAATCTCTAAGTGACTCATAATCTCATGAATGTAAACACTCATAGCCTCCCTCCAAAGCCCATGCCCCTGCCATCCAGTAGCTATATGTCTGTATCTCTGAGCATTTTTTAAAGTTAGAGACAGGGTCTCCCTGTAGCCTCAACTGGACTAGAACTCGCTATGTTGACCAGGTTGGCCTTGATCTCATAGAGACCTGCCTGCCTCTGCCTCACAAGTGCTGGGATTAAAGGCATGGACACGCCCAGTTCCTCTAAGCATTTTTAAAGAGTTGACCAAGACTACATTTTAACATTTGAACCGATTTGCTAAGACCTGCTGGGGGACTCGCTTGCCTGTGTGATCTTGCCCCACAGTGCCCCGAGAGAAGCCATTCTGTGTCCCCACAGCCAGGTGTGTGGCCCATGATCCCACCCTCATACAGGTGGGATCCTCCAAAGAGGATCCATTTAGCCTCAACCCTCCCCTCCCCCCACCAAAAAATACTGTTCCTGGCTAGGTAGAGTGGGGAGCTTTGAGGAAGTGCTGACCTGGCAACTTCAGTACCTGTGAACTGCTCAGCCTCCCTGGGCCTCATCTGTCCTCTTCAGCACAAACTGGCTGCCAGGATGAGGGTCACACTACCTTTGCTCCTCCCCTAGCTTTCATGCTGAGCTGCAGCTTTCCCCGACGCCCGGACTCCGGAGAAGTCACCGTGATGGATCTGCATTCGGGTGGGGTGGCCCACTTCCAATGCCACCTGGGCTACAAGTTACAGGGCGCCAAGACGCTGACCTGCATCAATGCCTCCAAGCCCCACTGGAGCAGCCAGGAGCCTGTCTGCTCAGGTATGGGCCAGACTCCACCACACCAACACTCAACCCAGGTGGGGAGAGGCCAGCCCCCAGAATGTCTGGAGTGGCCTCAGGGCTCTCAGCAAATGTATCCATTATTAAATGCATAGAACATAAAATTGACCCTGGGGAACCATTGGCACATGTGGTGCTATGCAGGTCATCACCCTCTGGTACAGAGCATCTCCAACCAGTGGAAACCCTTCACTCATTAGCTGTCGCTCACCAGTCATTGTTATTTTGTAAATTTTTTTTATATATTCTGGATACTAAACCTTCATCAGATACACAGTGCCCTGCCCAGCCCCTAGTAGCCACCTTCTGTCCCTGTGGATTTGTCCACTGTTGAGATCTCATGCAATCTCTCTCTCTCTCTCTCTCTCTCTCTCTCTCTCTCTCTCTCTCTCTCTCTCTCTCTCTCATTTTCCGTGTCTGTCTTCTATTTGCCATGATGTTTTCATGGGCCACCTGTGCTATAGCACATATTGGCACCTCATTCCTTCTTGTGGCTGAGTAATATTCCATAGTGTGGCACGCTATTTCCTGTTTGTCTGTCAGGGGACATTTGAATTGTCTCCACCTTCTTCTGCCTGTTATAACTAATGCTCTGATCATTCGCCAGGTGAGATTCTATGTGGACATTGGCTTTCATTTCTCTTAGATATATTCCTGAGCGTGGAATGACCTGGTTGCGTAGTTTCATACTTGCCCATCTACCCAGCTTCCCACAGCAGTACGTCATCTTACTTTTCCAGTGGTTGTGTACAGTGGTGCCCATTCCCACTCAGTATTTTCCATGGCATTACAACCAGCAGAGGGAGTCCCCTGTATGCATCTCACTTTGTTTCCACATTTCCCTGGTAACTACTAATATCAAACATCTTTTCAAATGCTCATCAGCCGTGTGTGTGTGTGTGTGTGTGTGTGTGTGTGTGTGTGTGTGTGTGTGTTAAAGAACAGGCTCTTCAAATCCTTTGTCCATTGCTTAATTAGGCTATTTGGATTTCGTTGTGTTTTAAGTGTTCTTTATATGTGCTGGACACTAGACCCGCATCAGATACTGATTTGCATGTATTCCCTCCCATTCTGGGTTTTCTTTTTACTTTTTGATGCTGTCTGTGATGGATCACTTTTAATCATAATGAATTCTAACTTACTGGTGTTTCTTCCATTGTGTGGGCTTTGGGGGTAGCTGCTGCTGTTTTGATTTTTTTTATTACTATTTTATGTGTATGCATGTATTGCCTGCATGTAGGTAAGTGCACCCGTGTCGTGCAATGCATGAGGTCAGAAGAGGCTGTCTGATCCCCTGGGACTGGGGTTATGGACAGTTGTTAGCTGCCATGTGGGTGCTGGGATTCAAACTCGGGTCTTCTGCAAGAACAACCGGTGTTCTTAACCGCTGAGCCATCTCTCCAGCCCCTGTTTTGATTTTTTTTTATTGGTTCAGCCAGTGTGAGCAGCACAGTTCACCCTCAGAGCAGCCTCATGTAGCTAGATCCTCTAGGTACCATAGCTGACAGGCCTCCAGAGGCCAAGTCACTTGTACCAAATCGCTAGGGAGAAGTTGGTGAAGTAGCTTCTTAAGGTCACCTGGTTCCCTCTAGTGGAAAAAGTGGATGGTGCAGGCCTGCAAATGGGATCCTAGGTGTCCCGTGGGTTTGCCTTTCAGAGCCTTTCCAGTCAGTGTGATCATCTGGCCAACACCCATGAGCATCTACTGTGCACTAGACTCTGCACCCATGGGTGGAACTGCTTCAGGGCTCCTGGCCTTAGCATGTTCTCAGTCTGGCATGGGGTGTGTGAGCAAGTTAGCAAGTGGGGGGCGGGGGAAGGGAGACTGGGAAAGCCAGGAAAGATTCACACAGGCAGTGATGGGGAACAGGCAGGAACGGGAGAAGTGACATCACCATGGAGAGACAACGTTCAGACAGAAGAGGTGGTGCGGAAGGGGCCAGGCCCTGGTGGGAAAGGGGCTCCACCAGTTTGAGGAAGTCAAAAAAGATGGATGTGGCTGCACCTGGCTGAAGATGACAGGACACGGCACCCTATTCCTCAGGGCTGTGGGCCAGGAGATGCATGGACCAGGCCAGGCATCTGGATGATGTAGACTGGCCGTCAGGGGTGATCAGAGAGGGCTGTAGGCTGTAGAGGATCACACCTCTACTTCAGGTGAGGTAGGGTCTGCACAACCTGGATCGAGAGACAGAGCCTGGAAGCAGCTCCTGTGAGGTGGGACAACTGAGGCCAGAATACTCTCTCCTCAGCTTTTCCCCTTCCTCTTCGGGGCTCAAGCACTGTCCCCAGACCTGGGTCTACCCACAGTGGGGTCACTGCCTGGCACACTGCCCTGTACCCTGGGCAGAGTCGTTCTTGCCTATGGTCACCCATCAGGACAGCTTACTCCCACTTAGACTCTGCAAAGTCCCTGTGGTGGGTCTGAGGGTGCAACTCCCTGGCAGAGGGCTTGCCTGGCATGTGCCAAGATCACCCCCTCCCTTTTTATAATTTTTTTTTTAAAAAAAAGAAAGAAAATTCCAAACCACTTGGCAGTGGACATTTGCACCTCTCTCACATTAATTTTTTAGCTGTGTATGAAATCAGAAAGGAATTAAGTCTTGATTTGTGCTGAGGAAGGTGGGTGCCAATGCAGACTTCCAGTGGCTCAGGAAGCCGAAGGGGACAGAAGCCACCAAATGGGCAGCAGGATCAGAAGACAGAGGCGTCTGGGCAGGGGCACTGGCCCCCACCGCTGGGCTCCTGAGACACAGGGCCATGAGGCTGGCTCTGCCTGGAGCTTGCGTTGCAGGATGGTGGAGCAGGGCCTGTGCTTGGGGAACCTCCTGAAAGAAAGGCAGCACCCTGGGGCTGAGAACCTTCAGGGTAACTCTCCCAAACAACACGTTAAAATCACACAGAAATCTTCCAGCACCTGTCTCCTGAGAGTCACAATCTGAGAAACTCGTTTGTGAACCGGAAGAGTTCTGTAGCTCTTTTATGAGCCACAAATCATTTTGCAATATCGTTTCACCAGAATTTTTAACATGAAAGTAGTATACGGCTCTGGCTAAAAAAAAAAAAAAATTTTAAGAAACACAAATGTGTATAAGACGAAACAAATGGCTTTTATAGGCAATGGTCTCGACACGCCCTTGCTAATAGCTCCCAGAAGGAGATGAGTGGGGTAATGTTCTGGCATGATTCTTCCCTTTAGAAGATGGTGGGTGTTTTCTGGTCATCTTAAGCCGCCTCTGAGAACTGGGTGTTTGATAACTTCATGGATGGCGTGCTTCGTTTCACTAAATGTGTGGGCTCAGAGAGTCACATGGGTTCTGGTTTTTGATTTGAGGAACACAGTGGAGAGGGCTGACTCATCCACACGTGGCTTCCAATCTCTGAAGCTTCCCCTGGGATAAGTCCCCAGAACTCATTTCAAGGTTGGGGTATTTGAGCATATTTCTGAACAGAGTTGTGTAAAATTACCCCTCAGGAAGATGGTCACAATCTGCCTTTGAAGATTACTGATCCCAGATAAATGAGCTACACTCATAGCTCTGATGTGATTGACCTAAAGGCCAGAATACAGCTTCAGTTTCTTTTATTATTGTGAGGCTGGACCGTTCTTCACACTAAGTAGAAAACAGATACTTCTCCTTTTGTAAACTGCTCGTTCCAGTCCTCCTTGAGGATCATTTCGTAACAGAAAGTCCAGGTATGGGATGTTTAGAGGGCTCAGGGTAAAGTTACTTGCTGCCAAGCCTAAAAACCTGAGTTCAATTCTTGGGACCAACATGACAGAAGGAGAGAACTGACTGCCACAGATTGCCCTCTGACTCTCACATTGGCATCCTGGGAAGTGTGTGGATTCACACATAAAGAAATAAAAAAATAAATGTAATGCTATTTTTTAAAAAAAGAAAGTCCAGACGTTGTCGGCATCATGAAATAGTCTTTAAGTCCCAGTCCTTCCTACCATGACACACATTTTGGTAGCTCTTGTAGTGGAGTGGGGTGTTCTATCAAGCAGGATGCCTAGCTAGGCACTGGGGTGGAGAAAGGGAAACAGAACCCCCACTTCCTCTCTGCTCACACCCGACTTTCTATACCCAGCCCCATGTGGAGGAACCGTGCACAATGCCACCATCGGCCGAGTCCTCTCCCCCAGTTACCCTAGCAACGCCAGCGGCAGCCAGCTCTGCGTGTGGACCATCGAGGCTCCTGAGGGCCAGAAGCTGCACCTCCACTTTGAACGGTTGCTGCTGCAGGAGAAGGACAGGTGAGGCTGTGACGTCACTGCCTGCCCTTCCCCCAGCTCTGAGAGGAACAGCAGATGTAGACTCAGGTGCAGCTAGAATTTGGCCAGTGGAACCCCTGAAAGAAAGAGTTGGAGACACTGGCAAAGAGCTTAGGGCCCCCAGCTTCCAGTTTCTGGCCATCAGGAAACTGAAGCACAGATAGAGGGGGCATCATCTGGGCCACCCAGGAAGTCAGGGATCCACCCACAGCACTGCCTAGAGCTTCTTCATGGACAACTCTTTCCTCAGATGAACAAGGGGGAGCATCTATTGAGCACCTACTTTATACACAGCTGTGATTAGACTCCTATGAATAACAGGCACAGCATAGGGAGCCTTGGCTCCTGAGAAGACAGGAAGCAGATGTGGAGAACGCTAAGCTGCAGAGAGCTAGGCAGGTGGGAGCAGGCAACATGCCAGCCAGGCCTGGGTATACAGACTGCAAGTAAATATGAAGAATCCCGATTCGGATCTTTAATATTCTAGGGACTTATTCTAGAAAGTTCTAGAAAACTAAGAGCACAGATGTTTACTTCCTGTCTTGGTTTGGGTTCCACTGAAAGAAGGTGGGCGATGGGATGCGAAGGGGAGGGGTTAGATGTGAGTTGGTCCTGGTGAGCAGTCAGCACCGTGGGAATGAGAGGGAGAATAGTGTGTACAGTGAGCAGGCAGCTCCTGGGACAAGCAGGCAGGACTCCCAATACACACACACACACACACACACACATACACACACACACACACACACACACACACACACACACACATGCACGCACGCGTGCAGCTGTGGACCTCGGAATGTATCCAGCAAGCCCATCGATCACAGTGTTGGTCATAGTCCCCTGCCTTGTCCTCTACCATTTGATGAGCTACAGACCCTGAGGCTTGGGTGATGAGGACGCCAGCAAAGTGTGCTCCCACATCCAGGGATTCAGGAACAAGGAGGGCAGGACCTTCACTCCCAGAGCACCAGCACTTTGGAATTCTGGGATCTGACATGCTTCAGATTCTGTCTCGAATATTTGAGGGCTGAAGGTGTAGCACAGTAGTATATCACTTACCTAACATATGCAAAACCCTGGGCTTTATCTCCGGGAGGAGGGAGGGAGGGAGGGAGGGAGGGAGGGAGAGAAATGAGCACTTTCTAAAATGATGTAACTTTAGACACGTGGGCCATAGACACATCACCCTGCTTGCTGTCCAAACAACTGACAGAAGGGCTGAGTTGACCCCCAGGGGTCTTAGCCAAGAAAGAGGAAATCGACTGCATCTGTCCTGTGCATGTTATTGAGGGAAACTGGGTAAGATGCCCCAATATGTCAGTTCAAGAGCTCAGATTGGACTAAACGAACCAGAGAACAACAGGAAACATTTCAGGCCCTAGAATGGGGGTCGGGGAGCAGAGAGGGGTAAAGGAAGGAATAGGAACCCCTCCCATACATGCACACATGCAAGACTAGAGCGGAGACTGTTATGGGGACCCAAGGACTGAAGCTGTGTGGGCTCCTAACACATAAATAGAGCTAAGGAGCCGGGGAGGGACGTGGAGAAAGAGTTTAACATGATTCTCCCCAAATGGAGAGCTGCGATCCCATAATACGCAGGACACGGTCAGCTGGGTTCTCAGAGCAGACATGTTTGGGAGACACTGGGTGCTGCCTTACCCCTGTGTTAGGACTGAACAGTACACGTTAGCCTGTAGAGCTGAGTCAGAGTGCCTCTGGGCCAGGTTGCCTGGCTGCGTACGGAATCTTGCTCCTCAATTCTGGTTACACGTGCCCCCTGATTCACGATGCAGTAGCCATCCCACATGCCTCATGCTGTCCACTCGCCTCCCCCCCCATGCATCCCTGAGGGACATGGGACAAGCAAGCAGCCCACACTTCAGTGACAGGCAAGGAAGGTAGAAGACAGGATTTGAGTTCAGATTCGAGACTCCAGGGCAGCAGTTGCCAAGTGCCTTCTCCCCTCCCTCTGCCCTGTCAATGACCTAGAAAATGTGTCCGTGTCCCTCTGTCCTTTCTCCTACCAGGATGACTGTCTACAGTGGATTAACAAACAAATCAGCTCTTCTGTATGACTCTTTTCAAACGGAAAGCGTGCCCTTTGAGGGTCTGCTGAGTGAGGGAACCAGCATCCGCATTGAGTTCACATCTGACCAGGGCCAGGCAGCCTCTGCCTTCAACATCCGCTTTGAGGGTAAGGGGCCCTCTTTGTAGGGTGGTTGTTTGGAGCAAGCATGTAGAGGCCGAGCCTGGGTCCTAAGAGGGGAAATATGGAATCTAAGGATGGAGGACCCACTGACCAGATGGGCCCACCGATTTTCCAAGAGGGACTTTAGGTTTTAGTATCAACACCTACCTACTGAGCATTTCCTGTGCCCAGGGCCAGCATGAACTTCCTTCTACCTCCTTTCTTCCTTTTTCTTCCTTCCCTCCCCCCACTCCATCTCTCTTCATTTCTTTCGAGACAGGGTCTCATGTAACCCAGGCTGAACTTGAACTGGATATGTAGCTGAGGATGACTTTGAATTTCTGATCCTCCTGCCTCCACCTCCCGAGGGCTGGGATCACAGGTGTGTACCACTGTGCCTAGTTTATACCGCACAGGGCGCCTCATGCATGTTGGGCAAGCACTCTGTTGACCCCAGCCCTGCTTTCATTTTGGTTTTTGAGGCAGGACATCTTGAACAGTCCAGGCTGGACTTGAACTCACAGTCCTCCTGCCTCAGCTTCCCCAGTGATGGGAGCACAGTGTGTACAACCACACCATGCTTGTGTGTGTGTGTGTGTGTGTGTGTGTGTGTGTGTGTGTGTGTGTGTGTGTGTGTGTGTGTGTGTGTGTGTGTTCCCGGGTGGCACTCACCACACAGAGCTGTGGAACCGTCATTGTTGTCTCAGCCAGGAAGTCAAGATGGAAGGAGCCCAGGCAGACTGCTTGAGGTCCTCACTTAGTGCAGATGGAGCTGAGGGGGCTTCCAGGCAGCTTCAGGGTCCTCGCCAAAGTGCTTCTCCATCTAGGAACACCTCTGACGGCCCAGCCTCTTCCTCCAGGAAGAACGGGTGGGAGCTCTCCTGCTCAGACCGTGGGTGTTCCCTGTACCCTGGGGACCACAGCTCTGGCTTCTTCAAGAGCATATATCATGATGAGGACAAACGTGTATACAGTGGCAGGACTTGGAACTCTGAAGTACTGGGGCAAAGAGAGGAGTTACACACTGCAGCTCTGCAGGGCTGGGAGACAGAGGTTCCTACCTGCATCACACACATGGAAAATGAGACTCCAAAAGTCCAGGCACCTGGCCCAGAGCAGCCAGAACTAGAACTCAGGGTCTGGCATATCTGCAGAGTCCACTCAGTAGCCCAGACTGTCCTAGAAATTATTATGTAGCCCAGGCTGGCCCTGAACTCACAATGATCTGCCTGCCTCAGCCTCTCTAGTGCTGGGATTACAGGTATGAGCCCCTACTCTTGGCTCTGGGGTAACTTTTCCGTGAGATTTTTCTAAACAGCAAGGGGAGACCCACCTCTTAAAGTAGTCCCCTGACTCATTTGGCTACCTCCCCCTTTGTTTTCCCACTTCAGCCTTTGAGAAAGGCCACTGCTATGAGCCGTATATCCAGAACGGAAACTTCACCACATCCGACCTGACCTATAACATTGGTACTGTAGTGGAGTTCACCTGTGACCCTGGTCACTCTCTGGAGCAGGGCCCAGCCGTCATTGAGTGCGTCAATGTGCGCGACCCATACTGGAATGACACGGAGCCCCTGTGCAGAGGTGAGCACAACTGCCCCTCCCCCCAGCATAGGGCATCCAGGCCCCCCAACCCCTGCAGCTACAGATAACAAGGCACTGGCCCAGAAGTGTAACCCCAATAACACACCAATTTTAGGATGGGTTCATTTCCAGGGACCACAGTCCTCTGAGTGTGGGTTGCTGCTGGTCCTTGGGGAAATCACAACCTGGTCAATTTTAAAAGGCGCCTGTTCCTTCGGGTACAGGACCTACATCAATTGCATGGCTAGGGGAGAAGGCCCCTGCATGTCAGCCCATTATATACCCTCAGCTATTTAACCTGCTGTAGTACACAGCTCATTCAGCAGCACATGGCAGCTCTGAACCTCACAAATGATAACCATTGTTGATCATAACTGGGTAGCAATTACGTTACAGGAACCCTGCCGAGGGCTACAGTGTTTCATCTGACGTCATCCTCCCTTGAGGCCCATAAAGTGGGCATTATTGCCCCATTAAGATGAGGAGGCTGAAATGGAGGGGGCATGCTGGGAAGCACTGGGAGGGTCACTGGCAGAGAAAGGGCCTGGCTTGGCTTCCCTGTGCCCAGAGCTTGGACGAGCTTGGCCATGTGCAGACTCACTCACACAGATCCAAAGGCCACTGAGCCCAGCCATGTGGAGCACTGAAGGGCGTCCTTGCTCCTGGCAGCTACCTGCTTGGTTGAGTGCTTGGTGTGAAGTCACAGGTCTGCTTTTGTGAGGGATTGGTCCCTGAATTAAACTTGCTACTTTAACAGAGCGGAATTTATCTGGGCTTTAGCCTCTGTCACACTGAGAACTTTCCAAGGCAGTAAACAGAGCGGAACTGAAAGAGCACCAGCCACAGCCACCTCCCTGCTTCTGGTCCAGGCTGAACTTTGGACAGCTGTGTGCCCAGCTGCAAGCTGGCCTCTAGAGCTCACTCAGGCTCCATCACAAGCCACTGGGCCCTCGAGGGTGTATCTCCCACTATATAAGGAGGAAATTTGATGCCCTAAGACGCTACACACCGCACATCATGTCACAAGCCAGACTTACCATCCTTCCCTGACAGAGCCACAGGAGTCAAGAGGGCATTGTGGGCTCTGTCCTTGGTGCTGAAAACGGCTCTTTTCCCTCCCCCCACACACAATCCCCTCCCCCATTACAGGCACCCAGCTTCACAGGACCCACAGATATCAACTCCATCCCCCATGTTTCTGACTGCTGTGCTGACTCATAAATGGCATCTTCCTGTCTGTCTGTCTGTCGCAGCCATGTGTGGTGGGGAACTATCTGCCGTGGCCGGGGTAGTGCTGTCTCCAAACTGGCCAGAGCCCTACATGGAAGGTGAAGACTGTGTTTGGAAGATCCATGTCGGGGAAGAGAAGCGAATCTTCCTAGACATCCAGTTGTGAGTATTCCCGCTCCCACCCCCTCCACAATCCCACTGCTTTGAATGCATCCAGGAAGAACCCACTTCTGCTTTGTTGTTTCAACCAGTATCAACTGAGCATCTACTATGTGCTGGAGACCTACAGAGCTCTGGGGTTCCCATAGCAACAGCAGCACCAGCACACAAACAGGGTCCTGACTTCTCAGGAGATTCTTTCTGCTAAAGAGTTTGACGTCCGTCCAGAGAGAACACACAGAAAAGTCACACACAGTGACTTCAGTCAGCAATGTAAGGAAGGGTCATGGTGCTGAGAGAGTCTAGATTGAGGATTTGATGTAAAGAAAGAGGTTAGAAAGATTTCCCCATCACCTCATAGGAAACCTAAGGACGAAAGGAGCCGGGTGTGGCAAGAGCACCCACATCATTTTCTTTTCTTCTTCTTACATTGTTACTTATTTATTTTGTGGCGGGGAGGGATGTGTAAGCCACTGCATATGTGTGGAGGTCAGAGGGAAACTTTTGGGAGTTGGTTCTCTCCTTTCATCAGGTGAGTCTTGGGGATCAAATTCAGGTAGTCAGATTTGGTACCAAATGCCTTACTGAGCCATCTTGCCAGCCCCCAATTTTATATTTTTTACATTTATTTAATATTTTTTATGTGTATGAATGTATTGCCTGCGTGTGTGTGAGTGCACTGTGTTGCACAATGCCCATAGAGATCAGAAGAGGGCATCAGATTCCCTGGAACTACAGTTAAGGATGATTGTTAGCTGCATTGTGGGTGCTGGAATCCAAAACCCAGTCCTCTGCAAGAGCACCCGGTGCTTTTTAACTGCTGAGCTATCTCTCCAGCTCTGGCCTCTAACTTTTGAAGGACCAAATGATCAATGTGGACATGAGTGAAGTGCACTGTGCCACATATACCAACCACACCACAGTTTATTTTTCTTTGTCTCCTTCAGCGAGGGTGGATGCTCCTGTCAGTCAGGGTGTGGGCCGGTTTTGCTGTTTTCAGATCCAACACCAAGCCTGGTGTACACTAAGTATTCACAAAGAGCCCACTGGATGAGAGGTGTTCTGTGAATGGGATCACCTGCTTCCCATGCTCCTGGGCACAATCATGACCTCGGAGTCCATGCAGAGCATCCCCTACTCCCTGGGAGAGCAACACTAAAGGACTCCGAGCCAGATGAAAGGGTGCTGGCTCTGAGCATCTGCATTCAAGGTCATCCCCATGAACCTGCCTGGAGAGCAGCATCTAGTCAGCCTGAGGTAGGGGCTCCCACAGGCAGGTGGAAGCTGACAGCAGCCAGGCCTCTCAGCCATGCCCTTCCCTGTGTGAGATGGGATGAGACAGGGACACGGTGGCCTATAGAGGAAGCTCAGAGATCTTTCTGGCCGAGCCAGTTAGCTGCAAATTGGCTGGGAACTCAAGCCTGAGGGCCACTGGCTCTGCAAGTGGCAGACCACTTGTTCATGCCTAGTGATTATCTTTTCATAGCATATGTTCACTGTACGAAGTGCTTGGCTTCATGGTGACTGTCTCATTCTCTACAGTGTACCTTGGTCATGTTCACGCCTCATCCTCTCTTGTCCCTTGTCTCTCTCTATCAAGTTCCCTTAAAAAGTCCTCCTTGATTACAACATGGTAAAAGCAAAGACGGATAACAAGCAGCTTCCCACTGCAGCCTCAGATAAGACAGAGGTCACTGGTGACCACATTTCCACTCCACAGGACCTTCCTCAGCGGAAGACATCCCTGGTTGCTAGCAAGCTGGCTGACTGATTAAAAGAGTGGAACTGCAAAAAAAATTATTATTTTGTTTATTTTATGTGTATGAGTATATTGCTTGCCATGTGGGTACTGGGAACTAAACCCAGGTCCTCTGATCTTAACCACTGAATCATCTCTCCAGCCCCATGATTTTTTTTTCTTTTTTGTCTCATTGAGAGAGGGACTCCCTGTCACTCCAGCTGGCCTGGAACTCACTATGTAGATCAGGCTGGCCTTGAACTCACAAAGATCCACCTGCCTCTGCCTCCCGAGTGCTGGGACTAAAGGCGTACATCACCACACCCAGCTCCCACAGATATTTTTAGCCAGATTTTGTGCATGGGAGAGAACAAGTTATCTGTCTAAGTCTGGCTGCTTTGCTTCGTGTGACATTGTCTAATCCCATCTATTGTCCTGCAAATGACATGATTTTATTTTTCTTTATGGCTGAATAAAACTCTGCTGTGTGTATGAGCCACATTTTCCTTGGTCCTTCCCCTGTTCCTAGACATCTGTACTGGTTTTATAGCTTGAAGAGTGCAGAATAAACCTGGGTGCATACAAATCTCTGTGCTAGGCTGAGTTGGGTCCCTTTGAGGACAGACTCAGAGAGTCACACAGCAAATCTACTTTTAGTTTTTTGAGACATCTCCACACTGATTTCTGAAGTAATTGTCTTAGTTTGACTCTCACTGGCAGTGAATAAGCAGTCCCCTTTCCCCATATCCTCACCAGCATTTATTGTCATTTATTTTCTTCATGATAGCTATTCTGGCTAGAGTACGATAGACTTCTAATTTGTGTTTCCTTTATGACTAAGGATGTTGAACATTTTCTCTTGTTTATTGGCAGTGCATTTCTCCCCTCCTCCTCCCCCTCCCCCTCCTCCTCCCCCTCCTCCTCCTCCTCCTCTTCTTTCTCCTTCAGGCCCAGGGCTAAGGGCCACAGCATCACTCAGAGGACAGTGCGGCATCCTCACTCACA